TGCGGCAAGATGAACCATCGTGCTCAAACGGCTCACAGAACCACTTCATCCGTGTTGCTTGTCGAGTCCTTCGGCAAGCCAAACTCAAAGTCCGTACTCATGGTCCGCCAACATCCGGTGGGTACCGGCAAACTTGGTCAGCAGCGCCACCGCATTCGGAGAGAGTTTCACCCTCTGACAGTCTCACACGTGCGCACATATGTACTCGTCCACTTGTACAGCTTGGGCCACCAATAGTGGCAACACACCGAAAAGCACGTCTTCTCATGACCATGATGTCCACTAAGTGGGGTGTCTTGGGCCTCATAGAGAATATGGTAGTTGAAATCTACATCGTGAGGGACCACACTTCGTAACGTATCCGTTTGATCGGTGCTATAATACAGCGACCCGTTATTCAACAAATTTCGATGTAATCATGCGTGCAAACGCGCCGACTATTTCTTGTCCGAGTTTCCAAATTCCTCGGTCATGAAAGCCTGTTGCAGTGCTACACACATATTGTCACCAGCGTATGCTGCGCGGATCAACTCCGTCGCTGACGACGTCACCGTCATGACCTGAGCAAGCTCATAGTCCGGTCTGCGTGAAAACGCATCAGCCGAAGCATTCTGCTTTCTGGCTTATAGTTCATCTTGAAGTTATATTCTGCAACGAATGAGAGTCACCTGGCCATCCTCTGTGAGAGGTGAGGACTGAATCGCAGTGCGTAATGACGCGTGATCTGTGTAGATCAGAAACGGTTTGAGCCAAGCAAGTGCACCTTGAATTGACAAGTGCATACTTCATCGCGAGTAATTTCTTGTTGTGGACTGGGTAGTTTCTCTCCGCAGCCGTAAGATGGCCAGATTCGAACGTGATGACCCGATGTTGCTCTGCGTCTGCTTGCAGCAGTGTGCAGCCGATGGCAAAGTCCAAAGCACTTCAGACAACACTAAAAAGACGATTAGGGGTCTGGCAACGCCGGTAATGCTACATGAATTTGGCTGTCTTTGACCCTGTCAATTGCCTCCCGATGCTCGGTATCTCAACAGCACTTCTTATCCTTCTTAAGGAGATTAGACGACGACCGTGCCATTTCCCCATAATTTGCGCTATTCTTGTGAAAGTAGTTGGCCAGGCCAAGCCACTTGCGCAAGTCCTTTTGGTTCTCTGGAATCGGCCAGTCTACAATGGCTTTGACCTCAGTGGGATCTGCTCGAAGACCACTCTTCCCAATAAAGCATCCTGAACAGAGAATTTCTTCAGCGCCGATGATGCACTTATCGGCATTAGCATACAGCTTATTTGTCCGCATGCACTCGAGCATAGTTCTCCAATAGATGATGTGGTTTTCCGCATCCTTCCGTGCCCCACAGGACTGCGGACAACGATGTCGTCGAAAAACATCTGTGCATACGCCCGATGAAGCCCAATCAATTGCGTCACAAGACGATTCAATGTTGCTGGTGCATATGACAGCTCTTTGGGCATCACCAGCCACTCCAAGAGTATCCAGCTCGGAGTACTCACCATTGTCAGGGGAATATCACTCGCTCTCATGAGGAATTGGTAATAATTATCAGCAAAGTCGAGTGCGCTGTACCATGTACAGCCAGCTATATTGTTCTGGAGAGCCGCCTTCCTAGAAATCGACTTTGCTGAAATGGTGGCAGTATTTAGCTTATCATTAGCGTGAACGATACGCCACTTGTCGTTCGGCTTCCGGACACAAAGCGTTGGTGTCGAATGAAGAGACTTGCTCTCACGCACTAATCCTGCGTCGTGCTTCACACATAACAAGGCATCAATGACGCCACACTGCTGTTTGGGCAAGGGCCATTGTCTTGTTACGCAGAATTTGGTTCCCGAAACCCATTTAATCTCATGATGCACACCTCGGTCAGGAGGTAGGAACGATGGCGGGTCTTTGGAGATGAGGTTTTAAAATTCCTTTACCAAGGGATGATACGGATTCGAGGGATACTTCAGGATCGATGATATACTTCGTGCGTTCAACACCCTGTTAGTGTCCTCCAGGACAGCTTTATCCAGAAGCGACGACGAGTTAATCTCCTCGTTCGGTCTAATAATGACCACCTCGACTTGATCGCCTGCCTTCAAGGCACCGCTATACGCTTCGAAGGGCATCTCGTCCAGCTCAAGAAGAGCATCCACGGCGGGAATAGCCTCGAGGTTGAAGTCACCGTCTTCCTCTCCGTCAAACCGTTGACGAGGTTATATAGCTGTGCGATGTCATCTACGGTAGACACACCCTGGGTCAGGGTCGATGCCCTGCGTCTTGCAGATATCATACGGCTTTGCCGTATACTCTCTATAGAGGATTTACGTCGCATCGAGACCAGTGGGAGCACGCACTCGGCGTCGTTCAGTGTCCCCAATTCCTTCTCCATCGGAGCCATAATATAAATAACAACATCCGAGAAAAAGCTGCTATTTTGGAGCCTTCGTCCAGTGGATAGCGTGCTACTCCACGCGTATCACAAGGCCTCGCCCTCGATGCCTCGGAACTCATCCGGTCATACCACTCTTGGCGTTCAGTAACTGCTTTGTAATGTGAGCAGTGCTTAGTGGGTCACGTGCCACTTCACGTGTATCACTGGGGCCTTGCCCTCGATGACTCGGCCCTTGGCCGACTATGCCACTCTTGGGATGCAGCGACTGTTTCAATTTTGAGCAGTGCTGAGTGAGTTACGTGCCACTCCGCGTTCAGCCCGCGAGCTACTCTCGCGACTCCTGTCCAGAACACATTTGGTATTTAACAACTCGGATACTCCGCCATCCAACACATTGACCGTCCCGATCCCGTGCCAGTGCCAGCGCCAACAGCGTTTCTGCTTCCTAGCAGAGGTGGGTTCATGACTCACCAAAGTTCCACCAGGAAATGTGCGTGTAGCGCATAAGGTCTTCGACCTCCAACCAATCCATGGCTCATGGTGTTCCAGCCATGCCATACCAAGGCTAACTTCATACCTTGCATCCAAGTCTAAGCCTAGACAGCATTCCACGCTATCAAATCAAGTAACTTGACATCGAGGTCCACGAGGACCTTCGGCACAGTGACACAAGTTTCCGTCGCTAAGCGAATAATGACTATGACGATGTCACTCGATTTTCTTTGATCGTGGAGCATCGAACATAATTGCCCGACGTCCCGGAATCGATGTCGATTTTCCATAGCTTTTCAAAGCCCTTCACGGTCGCTTTTACGACCAGCAAGCCCGACTTGCACACACATTCCGTGTTCAAGTGCACGCAGCTCTTCGGGGCTGGGCCTTGCTGCCCTCTACCTTGTTAAGGCTCAACAGAACTCAGTTTACCCTTAGTAGGGCGCCACACGCCTACGGAGTGCTCTCGTTCCCCAGCGTCAAATTAGACTGGTTAGAAGCGGGCCGTCAATTCAACGAACCTTGACGCGCCTTGCGCAAGAGACAACCACGGGAGTCTGCACAAAGGAAGCTAAGCTAAGCTCACCGACCTTGCGTTTTTAACAAGAACCAGTACGAGTGTAGCGGATCGCAATACGCTAGCTCCTAGAGTACCCCAAACCTTAACCAAGACAAACACACTCTTCAGGTCAAAAATTGAAACTGTAAATAATTGTTTTATTAGCGGCGGAGCCGCCAATATCTTAATCCTTAGATTACTTGATTAAATAGCAAAACCTAATTAATATGCATAACAATCGGAAATTCTGCCACGCAGTGGCTTCTTGTTACTAGGGTTTGTAGCCACACCACTGTATGATTACACCAAATTGTGTAATACACACCTATGTACGGTCGCATCATCTTGTGCGACCCGCTCTTTCATACAAGGGTACGAGTAACCCCGTTACACTCTCCCACAGAGCGCGGTAGAAAATCTTAGCGATTCTTCCTAAAGTTCACATTTTAAACAAGCTGTTCATTTAGTCGATGGCTCAGAATGGTCATTCGATGTCGTCTCTTACGCTTTAATCTTTGCAATAAGCTGCTCTTTACTCCAAGAAGGCATAGACGCATAATGGCGTCGACGTCTCATCAGCTCCAAGCTGCTAAAAAAGACAACATTTTTCATGACAAAAGCCACTTACAATGCAGTATGCTCTCGTCAAATTCAGTATACACCTGCTTGGCCCTAAGCCTTTTGTGATCTATAGAGATCATGCATCGTTGCGCATCGTGACGCCATTATCACATCAATCACATAAAGTAGCACGATGTTCATGCCGAGAGTACCTTTGCGGTTAGGTGTATGGCAGGTTGGCTGTTGTGGCGGATGCACTTTCGCGTCGCGCAGACTATGAATTGTTGCATGTCACAATTGTGGTATCGCCACTCGATAAGGCGATGCGTACGACGGATGGGTTATACACAATTTGCATTGCGCTGCCGAAAGCCCTGAAATTAATCACTAAGATATCGCTTCATCGAGGCGCACTTTTGCACGCCTGCACTGCTGGGCCCTATAGTAAGGTTTGCTGCATCACAACACTGGTCCAAATGACACCCAGCCTGTAGTGGCTGCAGCGGGGCTGCCGTAGCTCATTCGCTTAAAGGAAGCTAAGCTAAGATTGGTGACCTTCGTTATATACTAAGAACCAGTACGAGTGTAGCGGGTTACAATCCGCTTACTCCAAGAGTAACCACAATCTTGACCCAAGGCAAACAAAGTCTTCCATGCAAAATGTAGACTGCATTTTTGTGGCTTTATTTGCGGCAAACTCATCAAAATTTAAAGCTGTAGTTTTTCGATTAAATAGTAAAATCTAAATAAAATGCATATCTGGCAGTCCAACCATGTACTGACTTCTTGTTATGGTGTGGCCACACCATTGTGTGATTACACCGGCTTATGTAACCGACACCCTTTTATAGTCACACCATCTTCTGTGACCCAGCCTTTAATACCAGGGTGCGTGTATCCCGGTCAAGGTGGTTTCTCATGACGAAGACTACATTGAAAGACTAATGCTCGAGGCACATGTCTCGTTTACCACCTCGGAGGATGAAAGACATACTGCTCGGTTCGCACTATGTGTTGGTGGACAAACGTGTATAAGTGGGTAAGCATATATGTTTGCACGTGAGAATCGTAAATTTTCCCCGTTTGCGGTAGCATATTTGGCCAGTCTACCACTTTTGGCAAAGTGCTGGCGTTCATCAGTATGGACTATTTAGGGCTCTCAGGAGACGCGTCCAGCAATAAAACGTCTGTGCAAAATGACTGATGTCAGCGATAATATGAGCGTTAAGGCTACAGCCAAGCTGTTCTTCGACAAAGTGCCTCGCTAATATTAGCTTGTTGATAGCCCCTGTATCGGACATAGATCCGCATTTTACAGCGAGCTTCTAGTAAACAACTTAAATGCGCTTGAATCCAATTTGGATATGTCAACTGCTGACCATTCGCAAACAGATGAACGAAACGCGTAATTTGCGTTGTCAAAAAATTTTCATTGGAGCACTTACATGGAGAGAGTGGTGCTGAAGCGGGCTCTTGCTCTCAATCAATTTTGCGCTGAATAATGTAGTGTAGGCCTCTACAGGCTTTGTCTCGTTTCATACTGATAATTTGACACCGCAATGAAGTGGCCCAGTCTTATTGGAGGAGGAATTGTCGATCAGAATCAACTTGCTGATATGCCTGGTTACAAATCGCATTAAAATTAATGAGTTCAGCTCAATAAGATCAAGCGTCATGCATAGGACATGCGATGCTACGGCTGAGAGCCGATACAAACAGATGCAACACGCCAATAACATAGGCAGGCGGAACACACGTGAATATATTTTGGGAGCATAAGTGTTATCGAGCTCCATCAGCCCATTTATGTATACGCTGTCTGCGGTTTGGGAGCAAGTTACGACCACACTACACCAGGCCGTTCACGATCGTAGCGAATAAGCGATGAGATACTTGCAAAGTCCTGAAGCGACTGTAAACTTATTCAACTCCTTAAAGGCAGTACTGAGGCTCTTCACAACCCCGCCCTTTCGAACCACTCGGACTTTAAGAGCCCTATTGCAGACGAATTGACGTCTCCACCCCCTATAGCCAGCTATCCATTGCTTTTACTATGGAGAGGTACCGAGATCGCTTACGGTCTGTCGCACCTTCGGTCTTTACAATCCTTCGAGAAAGGTCAGGGTCGATCGTCGCAGCGGACTCCCAACTTGTAGAAAGCAATGGGGTTCGTGGTCACATAGACCCTTGGTTGGCAGCAATTACACCTTTTTCATGGGATTGGGCAGTGCTGTTAACATCAGGAACTTAAGGCGATGGGTTGTCACTTGGCGTTCTCGGTATGAGCGGAAGGACCGCACGTATGAGCACGAAGGAGCTCGGCTCTAGTGCTGCGAGCAACCTTGAGCGACTTAGAAGCTTTTAATGACGACGTTATTTGACAACAGTGAGAGTAGCATTTGCGTTTGCAGTTAAGCAAGCTGGACGACTTTAGCCAGTTTCAGTTCATCTGGACATTATCGTGAGCTCTAATGCGGGGTGTCAGAACACTTTTCGCCGATGGAAATGGACACGAAGCCCGAGCTTGGTGTCCTCCAAAACAGCTTCATCCAGAACTTGTGTGGCGCAGTGAGAATCTTCTCGCTTGGCCGTTTGCTGCCGAGTGAGGTTGGAGATATCGGGCAGGACTCAGAAAGTCATTGGGACCATTCTCATCGGAGAATACCTCGGCCAACTCACCAAGAATTCCTTAAGCGCGTCCGCCGCAAAGACCACGCTATTACGGAGGCTCGTTTAGCCATTAATTTAATGCACAGGTGTAGACTTCCGGTGTAAGAACACTCAGAAGCAGAGAGTGGAGTAAGACTGCAGGGACAGTGGTAGATCTTAGAAAGCTCATTTTTTGCGTAGGGTTCTTTAGAAGACAAAATAAATGGGAAAGCTGGCCTAAGCGGGTGAGAGTACTGTAGTTTTGTGTACATAATCTCACGTATTCAATACAATTGTATTGATAGCACTACGGTACAACTGTACAAAATTCACAATTATTAGATACAATTAGTTTCATCATTTAAAAGTACCATCGTAACGACATTCCACTCCAAAAAAGAAGCGGCCTGAGGTTCATTGTGGGCTGCTAACCGCACTCAGAGAAAAGATAGTTGATCCTGAGAAATAATAAAACGCATAATCATTATTGGTCTAACTAGAACTTATTTTCGGTTGTAATAGTAAAGCAAACTATTGAAAGCCATTGAGTCTGCGGAATTTAGACCAATCGAACCTCTGCTAATTAAATTATTTCAGGGCCAAAAATTAGGGTCAATATTTGCAGAGTAAGATATGCATACAATACGAGTATGATTGCAAAATATGTGATTAACAGTTAGTATCTTCCACTACTCATTCGAGAATCTGCTTCATAGACCTCACAAAAGCCATGAAGCTCTCAACTTGCGTGACAGCATTAATTGTTGGCTGCGGAACTTCGAGTGCTTGGACTTTCAATGTGTCGGAGGTGGCACCTCCTGAAGACATCCTTGGCGAGCATCAAACTCTCCAGCGCACCTGGGTAGTTTCTAGCTTCACTCAATTGGAGCAGCTATACCTGGCTGTGCCTGGCCCCGTTTTTGTGGAGTTGGACCCGTCTCTTCTTCCACCGTCGGAAGCTCCAATGAAGGTGCCAAGTACTGATACACCGGGTGTTGTTCCCGGTGTGACCCCTGGTGTCGTGCCTGGCACGGTCCCTGGAGTCATTCCTGGATTTGTACCTGGCGCGACGACTGTTGGATCTAGCGCCGGCTCAGAGTGGAGGGATAGCAGTATGGCGGTCGCAACTATCGAAATACCGACCTCGATGCTGCGCAAACATCGCCATCAAGATGAGAAGAGTGAGGAGGCAGTCGTGGCCAAGATCGTAGTTTCAGGCAACTCATCGGATTTGCTTAATATGTTTCAAGCCGCACCTTTGCATCCTCGCCGAGACGACAGTCTTAAGCTTCATTTGATGAATGAGGATGCATCAGGCGAAGGGTATGTGCAGACAACGATCTATTTGTTCAAAAAAAATTCAGTGCGCCGTGTCACCTCAGCCTTTTCAGGCGACGTCGTTCTAAATGGTGATACGATAGCGCTGGACGACTCCGAAGCTGACATCAAGTTTGCGTGCGTGGGCGACGGTAATTTGTATTTGCAATCCGATTCGAATGCCACGATCGGATCATTAGAAGTGGAAGTCACAGGCAGCGGTCGGGCCCAGCTGACGATTCCTGAAGTCATCCTTGAGAGCTTTTTTAACGTTGAAGTCGCAGGTAACGGTACGGTTGCCCTGTTGGCGGACACCTTCAGGGCCAACGAAGTGAAGACCACGGTAGCTGGGTCTGGTACTATTGTGGTGGAGTCTAGCGACCTGACTTCACAAACGCTCAAGGCCTCAGTATACGGATCAGGAATTTTTAGCTTTTCTACGTCGGGCTGTGTGACCAAGGAGACGCTAACGCTGTCAGGCTCAGGTCAGCTTCTTGTTGGTTCCATCATCGCACGGCAGGCAGACGTGGACGTGTGGGGCAATGGGGAACTACTCGTACAGGTGACCGACAAGCTGACGGTGTCCACATCGGTATGGGGAAAAGTAGGCTACGTGAATGCACCGCCGACTGACATTAAGATCAAGGGCTGGTGGTTCTGGCGCGAGGCTAGCTCTATTGTCTACCCCTCAGCAGTAAACAAAGTTGCGATCTTCGAATCAGCAATTGTTCCCGACAAGAAGCCAGTATACTACTCCGTCGAAACTGCTGAGTCCGCGCTGTCCGATGATCCCGACTTTTCAATTGTTGCGACTAAGCAATCCAGCACAGTTGACATGATGTCGACGTCACTTTCGAGCATACAGCAGGTCAGCGGATCGAGCAGCCTATTTTACGCGTTTATCGGCGTTGGCGTGGTTGTTGTAAATGTAGTGGCTGCGCGTTCATGGGCGATGCGCCGTGTGCACTGGCGCTACACTCCTCTGCTCTGATCTCATATCCTTGAGTTCATTCTACCCGCCAAAAATTTAGGTGGTAGATTGGAATGTTCTAGAATATTTTCAAGATCATAAAGCCATAATCTTCCAGCCTCGTAAACATTCAATGTTTTTATGTTAAAATCACACCTTTTTCATCGGAATCATGTCTGCAAACGACTCCAGTCGAATTGCATTGTCACACAGCTGGTAACAAAAGGCGACTGCTCAAAAAAAATGTTTTGTTTATTTAGCGTTAGGGGTTTGACCAATTCGAGCCCCACTTATCCATATTATTAATGTGGGCCTATAAACAAATATTACATGTAGTTCGATGAGCACTTTAGCAAGGAGCGCGCGGTTAAAGCCCTGACGGCTCAGCCTCAACTTCCTCCTCACTTTTGATCTCGACCTTGTTTGGAAGCTGCGGTGGTTCGTGGTCATCGCACCGCACCATCCATTTGCTCTTTACTGTAATGATATGGCAATTGACTCGCATGATCTTGAGACCCTTAGTGACCTCCAAATCCGCCTGGGTCCAATTGTTACGTTGATCGGGCATCGTGCAAACGTGGCCCACTTTTGGCTGTCCGCATCGCCCGCATTTGTACATCTTTCGATTCATTTCGTCCACGCTCAAATTCTTGGTGCCTGATGAGGAGGCAGAGGAGCTCGCACTGTGTCGTGGCGGTGATCGTTGAGTATTAATGTCAATCATACTTGCGTCTTCCGGGACCGAAAGAAAATTTAAATTCATTTGGGACATATCCATGGACAATCCCGATGAGCGATTAGCTCCACGCCTGCGAGCGGCTGCACGTGGCGGCAAATTGCTTCCAAGTGATGAACGACGACTATGTAGCGAATGAGCAGCACCGCTGGCAATTTGAGGCGGCACTTGAAACTGAGAGTGGTGCGTGCTGACTTGTGGCGGCACAAAAAAATTCGTAGAATCCTGTAACGTTTTAAACGTATCCGGAATAATCTTTTGCGATGATTGTTGTACCTGCATCTGCATCTGTTGCTGCTTATTCTGCTGCGCCAAAACGCGAAACTGGTCCAAATTGTGCAACAAATCTACAGGATTTGAGTGGTGTCTTGAATGGTGATTTGCCGGGCGCTTTCGCTTCAGTTTTAGCTCATTTACTTCATGTTGGATACGCTGGGAGCGGTAAGCCACCGGTGAAGCCTCGACAAAGCTTGAAGAGTTATTTCTGTCTGGTGTTGTCAAATCAGGTACATATTGTTGTTGTTCTTCGGAATTGAGTTCTGACCACGACATCTCCTTCAGAAATTCATCCATCTCTTGAAATGAATCATCCTGCAGCGTCGGCGTGTCGACTAAATGCATGAGATTAGTCATCGGTTCCTGCGGAACCGAGCCAAGTGAGGTCATGGTATGATGCTGAGAAAAAATCATTCGATTGTGGCCCATAATGGGCGGCGTGATGACGCTTGGAGCCATATTTGCCATGCTAAATCCCTGCAAGACGTCCGGGTTCGAACGCACTCGCTTGTGCTTGTGTTGCGGAGCCACGCGGTAACTCGTTCCCTCAGTGAGTGTTCCGTTTGAGTTAAAAACAAAGCTAAGCGGAGATAGTAGATCTTCGCTTTCAGACTTTGACGCCATCATATTAGTAGGAGATGAGCTGGGCACGTCGCTATCAAGCAGCATTTGGTCGTCTGGCATCACGAAACTTCTAGCAACAGAGGTCAGGTTGGGATCGCCATTAGCGCCTCCAGCATTTTTTGATTCTGACACAGAATCGTCTCCTCCACCCTCGAGAAAAGTGTAGTCAAGCGGCAAGCCATCAAACAAGTCAAACGTCAGGGAATCTGTCATTGAGAGCAATTGAGAAATTGCAATTAGGGGAAAATAGAGGGGTGCTTTCAGTATACACTGAAGAAGTCAGCACAAACGAATTGTATACACATACATAATGCTGAACGAAGCGCTGGATTGGATAAAATAGAGAGAGATAAAATCTTTTTTCAAATAATTCAATGTATAAACCGAGCTGATGTCGATCACTTATTTCTCCAATTGTACATGCAATATCTTCAAATACAAATACTTTGCTAGTAAATTATGCAACAAGAAATGCTTATTCAAATATCTGCTAAATCCAATAAAAAGACGCTACAGACTCTTGTTACATGTTGCTCTTACGTATTTAATCATGTATCCGTGGATGCTCAATGATTCAAATGATTTAGTGGTTCATTGAGTGGGTGATGCTCACATACGTATTGATTCCGCGACCTTAGGATCATATCTGTGTTCCTGTCAGCTTAGACCTATTCAAATATTATGTTGAGATCAAAGAGGCTAAATTTCTTAGTGAAAATTCAAGATTCCTTCTGTTTACCAAACAATCAATTAAGAGCAGCATTTACAGCATTTACAGCATTTACAGTGCATGCGTGTGCGGAAACGTCAATGTTGGCGTACTACCAAAGCTTGAGTCGCCAATGGTAAAAGCAACAGCCTCTTCCGGTTGCTGTTCTACAGGCTGGTAGAAACTCGAGTCTAGTTCGCCCCCTCGTGACGGATCTTGCAACAGCGCCTGCAACGCACGCCACGGTCGATCAGCAACCAAATAAAAGTTAATGTGGCTAATGCTCGCAAGTTTGCCGTTTCTGCTCGCACCTTGCCAGCACCAGCAAGTTTTTACGACAGAAATGCACTCACCTGTAGACTTAATGGGCTCAATTGAGATGCGTCTTGTCGCGAATAGGGATCCCACAGAATGGAGCCGTTAGAGCTTACATGTTGAGACCGTCGACTTCGTTGTTGCTGATCAATTTCACCGTTTGCTGCAGGTGTTGAAGGTTGAAGCCACGTGTCACTATTATCCTGCTGGTGGTGGTCGGTCTGATGAACTGGCGACGTATTTGCAAATTTAGGTGTTGATCGTTCGTAATTTCGAGGATCATAGCAATTAGTCGCAACAAAGCCCTGGCCGTTATATTGCTGCGGAGGAACATAAGACTGTTGGGCATAAGCAGCGGCGGCGTAGAGGTTTGCGTCACCACCAGGCGAGTGACCCATGAGCATAGCGCGATTTGGCTGGTACGATTCAACCTTGAGATCCTCTGTCAACATGGCAACGTGGCTAATGTGCCGACCTTGTTGCATTTGCTGCAGCATTTTTTCGTGAAGACGCATTTGCTGCATATGCTGTTGTTGGTCAAGCTGTTGTACGGCTTCGGCATTATTGTGCACCTGAAGATGTTGCTGTTGCTGCAATAGTTGCAACTGTCGCTGTCTCATAAGTGCCGAATTGTGGTAATCCATTGCCGCATGTTGAGCAGCAGCTTGTGCTTGTTGCTGGTTTTTCTTGTGCTGAGCGTGCGATGCTGCAGCCTTGCTTGGGTTCTGTTTGAGTGATTTCCAGCGAATCTTGACAGAATCTTCGGTACGTCCTTTTAAAAGTTGAGCAATCTGTGACCACTTATTACCAAGCCGCGCCTGTGCAGTGAGGATCACAGAATCTTCTTCTTCGGTGTAAGGGCCTTTATTAATAGCTGGATCCAGGTGGTTCTTCCATCGTTCACGACACTGTTTCGGTGTGCGTCCCGGTATACGCTCTGCGATTTGACCCCAATTGTTGCATCCCTGTGTCACAAGATACTCAAGAACTTGATCCTCTTCGAAAGACCAATGACCTTTCACAAGACCGGGTTTCAGAACCTTGCGCCAGCGCTGCAAACACTGCGCATGATTTCGACCAGGCACGAGTTCGGCGATCGCCTTCCAATTTTTCTCTCCGTGGACACGAACGCTTTCTCGAAGGGCTGCATCCTGACTTTTCGTCCATCGTTTGGTTGTAGGGGCTTCGGGATTTTCCCCATTCTCAGTGTTTTCATCAAATCTTTCGACATTGAAGCTTGATGAAGCCTCTGGTGTGCTTGCATCATGACGGGTACGCTGTGTGGGCTTTTGCTCGCCTTCAATAAGCGCATGAGTGCTCTGAGGACGATCTCGCTTTGACGCTGTGTTCTGTTCTTGTGTAGCAGTTGTTGCGCTCTTATCACCTATCGTAAATCCCTTTTTGTTGATCTCCAGTTCACGAAGATTCTTTTCGGAATCTCCAATGTGTGAATTACTAAGTAACCGTCCAACGAGAGAAATGTCTTCCTTAGAAATTACAACTGACGATGAAGAAAGTGAGCGACCAGTAACGACTCCATCTGCATTTGGCATTCCGGCCAACTGTTGTGAAGTCAGTTTATGACCATCATTATCTGCACTACACTCATGACAAGAAGTGCGTCACACTACTAGCATCATTTTAATGAAAAGACTTAACATACCTATCAGGACCAATGACTGCATTCAATGAATGAAACTTGTTAACAGCTACACATAGTGCACAAGTCTCAATAATTACATGTTCACTATAGTGCTAAAATTTTTTGTCACTTACCAGTAAGTGCATGCTTACGCCTTAAGTAAGTCTCCATATTCTGCTCCTCTTGCGCACGATCTTCCGCCAATTTGGCTTCCTGTGCAATAAATTTTTTGCGCAAATTCAAAATAAACTTCTTTTTGCCGTCAACAGTGGACTCGGCCATGGCTTTTATCACGCGAAATTGTTTCTCATCCCGTAGGCGGTCAACGTAGCGACAAAGCTCAGCACTTTCGCTTGGTGAGAGGCCGCTTAGCGCCATAAGGAAGAGCCGCGACGCCTCCGCAGGTAGTGATTGTAATAGTTGTGCTAGTAGATCGCCAAAACTGTCAGCACCCACCATATCTGTGGGTGGAGCTGGCTCTGGCTGATTGTCGGTGGACGTGTCCGCCATGAGTTACAAAGAGCGAATAAAGAGTGGACAGTCCTTCTACTATGCAAATTGCTTTTTGCCAGCGGTCGCTTTCCCCCGGTCACCCCTTCCCCTGAAATTGCGAATCATATATACATGTGAAAAATACTTCTGCGAAATTTAAATTTTGGACCTGCAACCGTTTCCAAAATAGATGCCCCGTCACTTTCGCTTTAAACTAAACGGGCGTTGGAAAACGTATGGTGCTTTTGCTGTTTGAAGGCGGTCATCCCGCTGGACGCAACTGTGACTCAAGACAAAAAGCGCTTCCGCCAAAGATTTTTTTCCGAGCTTTTACCCATGAGCGCCTTGGTTTTGTACGGAACAAACTTCTTTTTTGCACAAACAGTCATTCCTAAAAATTATGCCTTTTAAATTGTTGAAGAATTTCTCTGCCTCAACACAATCATTAGTAGGCATTTTTTAAATATTTTCGTCGCCTCTTTGATGTGATCCTGCGTTTTACCACGCAACATTTGAGCGAAAGAGTTACCAGTAATCGAAAAAGAAGAAATTTTTACTGCCAAAATTGTGGATTGCTGATCCCACGAGCTAGTAGAAGTAATTTTAGGATTGCTTCCCTGGCGCTGTTACACATGTGCAGACCGACACTATACTACAAGCTTACACTCGCGTTTTCCTATAGCCACGACCCGTAAATTTGGCGATTGCTCGTTCGAGAGGCGCACCTCCGTTGCGTGATGCGATTGATTACCTGCTCTACTTGGATCACAAATCTATTTTAGGAGGAGCAATAATCTAATTATGAGAAGTTCTTCAGGTTTTTGCCCAAATTTTAATTTGCGCTGCCCATTTAGAGACGATATTTCCGTCAGCGACATTGAAGAAGAATGTTGTCGATATGACACAACCTTGATATCAAGCCTGCGGGTGCGAATAAGGCTTTATGAATCTCGCTGCGGCCGTGCTGCTGACACATCCTTTGCTCAATCACTGTGGCCAAAACTGTCTACCATTCAGACTATGGCCTATCATGTCGGCCAAGCGAATGTGCTATATTTTGTGTATAGCACCTTTTTAGTGCAATTAGTCTACATCTGCCGAACGGTGCAGCCAAGGGCTCCACGCTTTTAAAAAAATTGTCACTAGTTGGGATGTCACTTCCGCTGTGCGTCTATTCCCCTCGCCAAGACTGCGCTGAGACCGTTTGGCTTAGTCGATTTAAAGGGTATCTTTTTCTAGTTTGATTTAATGTCAGCCGATGCTTTGATACCTTCGTAAAAGTTGTTTTCGATTTGGCAGCCAGTCTATTAGCATCAAGAGTACGAATGATTAGGGCACGTCCATTGTCTTTTGATCGAAGTCATTCTCTTTGCTTGTACAACGTGCGTAGAAGTCGATCCTTTCGATTGAACGCAACTTTAACATACTTTCGATTCAAGCGTTTGTACGTGCAGGCGCTTTTTCAGATTTGCTTGCGTTCAATTCTCATGCTCAGACCCGTCTTTCAAAGCCGTCATCGTGATCTTGTAGGATTTTAAGTAGAAAAGATAAATTGCTTCGGAGACGAAAAATAGAATTCGTCTCGGGCACGAAGAGTAATGAAAACTTCGCAAGATTTGCAAATTTTCGCAAATTCGCGTCATTAGCAATACATTTTCTCTGTTGCAGATTACGGGTAATCCCGATAGTACAACGCCAGCGTCAATTTACTCGTTCCAAGATCTAATCGCGCTTTGCTAGGTACTAACCGAAAGGATATATTTTAAGTGTAGCTTTTGAGGCCTCTTAGCAGAACTTGGACGCCACCGTACATCACTTGCTGTGAGCACGTCCATGCCCGAAATAAGCAAACGATTTTTAAGGCCGCACATATGACTACTGGAGCTCTAGGAAAATGTCAATGGTTGGTTCTTTGCAGGCAACTCATATTCATATGTGCAACTTCAGATAGTATAAGAAAGAAAGCTTTGACCTGCTTCTGCAAACTCTTCACGTGCACAGTTACAGCACTTAAGCTCGTTGCTTAAGCACAAAAACGTATTTTGGTAAAATAGCACATGCTAAAATATTATGGGTTGCACAATCGGCTTCAGCCACGGTTTCTCATGGCGCCGAATTAGCCTCGGCATTACAGCGCGGTAGTTGATATGGGAAATATATTACAAATGTAGTTGTTCCATTAAGCCGTTTCCGTCAGGACATGTTGACAATTTGCCGGTGTTGTCTATGCCGACCATTTCTGTCACAGATCTTTCTTTTCGTTGCCATCACACACAGCATCGACAGCTTCGACATCACTGGCAAACTCGTCACCGAAAGCTATAGTTGTTAGCACGGCAAACACTCTGCCGGACGGCAGAATGTATACTCAGCCCGCTAAGACTAGGTAGGACACACACTCTGTGACTTGAGTAGTATTTTCGTTAGGTGATTTATCGAATATTTCGGCTATGCCAAAAACATGCGAGTTATATTTTGGAATTTATTGTGTCCTTATTCAATTCATTGATGCAGTGCAATTGTTTCTTACATGTAACTTTACACAGGACATTATTGAGAGCTGTACGTCGAGAGATACAAGCATAATCAGACATTTCATCGTGTTATCAATTCTACCTATTTTGTTGCACTTGTACGAGAGCGTGAAGGGACATCACCTGCTATCGGAGCTGTCGCATCATTACTAATTGCTCGGATCTCATCCAGAATGCGAAGCAGATCCTGTTGCATTTGTGCGCTTCTAGGTCTGTGCTTGGGGTTATAGCTCGTACATGCGTTAACGAGCTTGACGATACTTTGGGGGCACCCTGGCGACAATGTAGGCGACAAGGCACCTCTAGCAATAAGTTGCAAAATGTCCGACTCGGGCACAGCGGACCGATTTGCTTGCAATAAATCTGAGAACGGCAACTCATGTGAATCTACCTCAGCAACGAGAATTCCAAAAGAGTAAACGTCGCTTGCATCTGGATACGTCGCACAAGTCTCACGGCCTAAAAGAGCTTCAGGCGATATCCAGCGACCGGAACCCACTATACTGTACGACGTGAGCTCTTGATCCGTGAAACCATCAGACCTACTGTCTATTCCAAAATCACTCAATTTAGCACGCAGTGAATCATTCAGCAGTACGTTCCGAGAATTGCAATTACCATGCACCGAATGGGGGAGTACAGAGTGAATGTAAAGCAGCGCGCTACTTACATCTAGCAACATTTGAACTTTAGAAACTGTCCATTTGCCACTGTGAGTGACTGCAGTTCGACGAAGCCACTGTCGAAGATCACCTTGAGTCATATATTCTGTGATAGCGACCAAGTTCGTTCCGCGCGACCAGGCAACGCCGATAAATGACACGACTTGCGGGTGATTTAGTTGAGCTTGACGCTTAACTTCGCTCTTCAGTTTATCTCTCGTGCCACATGTTGAAGATCGCCGACCAGAATTTTCTTTGGGCGGCAGAAATTTTGCCACCACAAATGTTTTTTCTGATGAGCCTACCACCGCCTGTTCATTTGATGCCAAAGACGCCAGCCAAATTTCATGAGGATTTATGGTAGTCGTCACACTTTGTTTACGCAACGTCTGGCGCTTCTCATCAGTCGGTACGTTCAGCCACTTAAGCAATTTTAGACGATGAAAATTCAGTCGCCACTGTTGCAATTCTTCGTCCACCCAAAAGTCAGCGTTTTCAGTACCGAAAAAAAACGATTTTTTTTCTTTTCGATGCGCACGTTGAACTGGACTGACAGTTGGTGAAGTGGTCGATACGTTGGCCGTAGAACGCTCTTGTTCATTTATGTCCACAACTTTTGAGTTGGTGACGGGTGAAACGTCACTGTTACTATCGCGATGACTCGCTCTCGCAAACGAGATGTAGAGAACAACTTTATACAGAAAGTAGATGAATGGCAATGCCATACTGATCAGCACAAGAGTCGGCGTATCCTGCTCAGAAGTCTTAACTTCATCCTCTTGAAAAGTTGTGTCATCTTCTTCACTATTAAAAAATACCGAGTCCACGTGCGTCTGCAATTGCCGAGTCACTGTGGCTTCTTCATCAGGCATAATACACACATTGAAGCCACCTAGTCTTCGGATGCGGCCTCGTAAGACTGTGCATTTTGACATTCCTTCTTCATCTATTTCATCCTGATGAATACTCCCGTCTGACAATCGTGATCTCAGCACCTGAAATTGTCGCTCACTGAGTTCCATCAGTATCTGTGTCTCATCAGATAGTGAATTGTTTTTGAGCACAAGCGACTTAAGCTCCGAGAGGGACATGATCCACGCGATAGAAAATTGGTTAAAGACACAGTTTACAAATTGTAAGTGGGTAACTGAGTGTGGCATAAGCGGTAACGGGGAATCGGTAAAATCTAAGCCAGCGAATGAGACCGCAGTCAGATGCTTGCCTGTCCAAGGGTGGACGTCATTAAATACCACGCGCGTCTTGTTTCCTATTATCTCCAATGTCTCCACCCACGGCAAGAGTACCACGGTATCAAAGTAATAGATCGGCGCGTCTTGTAGCACCACACGCCAATCGGCTTTGACTGTTTTCTCGAGTGGAAATGTGCATTCTCCATTCTGTAGACACGATGCAGCATCTAGAGCGCAGCGAGCGGAGCATTTTGTGCTTGTCTTCCGCTCCTTCGCGGCAGTGCAACACCAAGAGATCATGAACGACAAGATAAGAAAAATCGCGCGTTTTCTCCGATGACGCTGCATACTAATGATATAGAGACTAAATGAGTCTCGAAGTAAGCACTGATTACACAAACATATGGCAACCATGAGACCAGAGACTACGTGAGCATCTAAACTAAATTTGTGATCAGTACAGTTCGAGCTTTTACTTTTAATTAAAACACCGCGTTTAGAAAAAGATCAGACTGATACAGGTTCCACAGCCACAAAATCGGTCAAGTGTGGAGATGAAAAGGTAGTCGCTAGCGTGGATTTGCTGATTGGGTGTTTCCCTCCAAATTTCTAGTCGTATTGTTTGATTGAGATCAACAGATTGTAAATCGGTATATTGCGTACCAGCATTCTGTCATGACTTAGTAACAGAGTGGGACGATGGCATCGTCAAAGATGCAAACTTTTTGAATTCCGACACCCACCTGCTAAAAAAAAAGGTCGGACTTTAGCAGTTCAGTATTAACAGTCAATCGTAGAACGGCATTCATTTGTAAAGGATTTGCTTCGCCTTTTTTATTGCTATCGAGTCAGTGCGATTACCTCTTTGTTAGATCGTGTAGATATTTATGAAAAAAAGTATAGAGGACGAGAACTTGCTCAATTTGCTTAAATTGTGCAGTGAACGATACACAATTGATTGATCTCATGTTGTTTATTATCCACGCTTGACAAAATAAGTTGATCGGATTATAGAAGATATAGAGAAGTCCTCTTATGTACTATAAATGTTTTGGGTACAGAAGACATTGGTCTTCCCTTTACTCTACAGTTGTAGCAAGAAATATAAAAGGATATTGCTCGTGGTTACAATATTGCCTTTGATAGCCAACATGTGTAATCCTTACGATTGTTTAACCAAGTGCATGCAAAATAAAGTGGTGCTCAGGCGCTTTCCTGCAAAAATGAGTGACTTAATCTTTTTGATTTTAAACTTCAGACTTAATAAATATATTGACCACTTTATGGCATTCGGAATAGTGACATCTTTAACATCTCATTGAAAATGCGACATTGCTGTTTGTGTGTCTTCCTTTTTTTTCGACTATAAGTTCATGTCGATTATGTGTGGCCTCAAGTTAGCAGTTTTATCAGAGGCGAGACGTATGCCGTCTGATATAAGTAGTCAGGTAAGTGATGTAATTATTTAATTCGCAGTGGCCAGCAAGATCAATACGTGAAATGCCAAATGTGGCAAAGGGATGCAGCCGCAAATGGCGTTATCATAATCTGTACGTTCTAGCTCGCCAGAACCGATCCTGTGGTGCAGTGGTTTACCACTCATTTCAGGACCGGGAGGTCCCGGGTT